TTATGAGGAGTACATCTAGAAACAGTATTCGATCATCTGCTTCTACCTCCTGTGTAAATTTTATGGCCTTTTGTGCGGAGTTGAACTTTTCTAGTAGTTGGTTCAGTTCGCAGTTTGAATCAGCTATACGAAATATGTCGTTTACATACCGACAATTCCATTTCGCCTGTTCGCCGAGCTTAGCAATTTGTTTGCAAACGTTTCATCACCAGCCGAGGTGACATCATCAGAGCTACGAGAACCAATTTTCAACATTTTATCAACATACCGACAGTATTTATGAAGACTAGTAACGGTGTCTTTCAGTTGGTTATTCTCCAGCGTCGCCATGAAAAAATCCGCCAAAAGAGGTCCTAGTGGTGATCTCATTGCTACTCCGTCCTTTTGTCGGTAGACCGTTCCGTTGAAAAGAAATTGTACGTTATATGTACACCGAAATATTTTTCATTCATCTGTCGAATACCATTTTTTTACTGTTCACTCCTGATAAACTTTTCGTGTCCGGTATTGTGCTGTATCGAAACCAGTATGGCTGAGTAAGTGTGTTCTTTGGGTCGTCATTTTCATCCCCCTTATTTCAGGTTTTACGACCTATTGTCAGATAAGCGCTATTGGTAAATAGCGTTAGACTCAACTCCCAGGGTTGCGCTGTTTGCCTGCAGATTGTGCCACCACGGTGCATGAACTGATTGATCGGTCCTGATTACTCGCCTTTTTTGCCTGCTTGTATGTTCGCGTGTTGTGCGTGTGTATGTTATCAGGCCTGTTTGCTTGGTCGACTATAGTAGATTAGACAGTCCCTGCGCAACCCGGCCGAATACGTCTGCCTATAGAATCTCGAGACTATGGAAAAGGATATCACGCTCTGTCTATGGTGTGCACATGGTATCTCGTACAAACCTAACCTCAGGTGCGAATGTACCACGGCTACAGTGTCGACACTGTACATGCAGTTCCCCTCATCCACCCACCCACTTACACACATGCCCTCGTGCGATTGTCCGTGGGATGTGCCTACGACCCTTGACTCTCATGTGCGCACATACGGCTAAGTCACGACCGGAAGGGTGCGTTGTCCTGATCTCCTGCCAGTGTACCACGTTCGTGTGCTTGTGTGTGATAGCCTTTTTAACTGCCTTCTTTTGGGGGCACATTAGTCCTACACTGTCCCTGTGGTTTTGGGCAGAATGGGAAAGGGGCAACAGGCGTGAGGCACATGCCTTAGCGCGAGTGGATCTCGTCACGTTAGTGCCCTATTGATTAGTCCTCGGTCATTATGTCTAGCGGAACCGGTTAGCCTGGATGTTTTTGGCCTGCATTGTCACGTGTGGTTTCGTCCAAAGACAACAGTCGGTTGTGTGCACGCTTTCCTGTCATATTTTTACATGTTTCCCCATGCACTGCATGTCTGTCTGACTGTCGGATAAGAGGAACCATTTGGCAGCAGTATTCACCCGGGTCACTTCAATATAACTGTTCATCTGGAGGACGTCTACTGAAGGTTTTTTATTACCTACTCCTGGATCTGGACAATGCCATACACCTATATTCGTACATCTTGTAGGTCTGTAATTCGTACCTACCGTAGGCGTGTGGTTCACTTCCGTTTCATCACGAACTAACCACTCGCAATAGTTTAACACGAATCGATAATTTTGCTTTTATGGCGTCTGTTCCTGATTGGTGTTGTGTAGCTGAACATGTTAGTTGCCTGCCACGGCGCAAAAGTTTCGGTACCGCTCACTGTGTGATTGCTGGCCACTCAAATGGCTATTCTATCTACCCCTTTGAGCGAAGATTCCGGCGAGATCCAATTTGGTGTACCATGTTGTTTGGGCGTTTTAAAATAACAAGAGTTTACCATGGGGTACTTTCGAACGCGGACTCGATTGTCTTTTTAATGTGAATGTCATTTTTTAACTAATCCATCACAGTGTGATCCCCAATAGTGGTGATCCCTAATAGGATTACGCCACTTCGTTTGGATGTAAAATTTGACCCTGAGTCCTTGAACACGAAATAGCGAACTACAGTTTTCACAAACAGCAATGTAGTTCAGCATGCCCCTTGCTTTATCTTCATAAGTTTAATCGTCTTTATTGATAGATTTAAAGCTCTGAGCACTACTAATGATATCACTAATAGTAATAGGAGATACATGTCGATTTACTCCAATATTCGGAAAATTATGCAGTCAAATCTTAGTGAGATAAGTTCGTCTGTTCGAGTCCTAACATAATTTACCACCGCTTCATATTTTTTACTTGGAATCTCGTTAATTGGGCGTTGTTGGCTTAGTATCTCCCTTGGTATGTCGGATTCCGATATGACTACCATTTCAGCATTGATTTGCTGGATTTTTCTTAGACCTGTTTTGTCTGTGGTGGTCTTGGTGGTGGTAGTTGTGCAAACTACTGGATGAGTCACCGTGGGGCAACAGATAATTGAGGTGTCTACGACACAACGCCATCCAGTCCCAAAATAAGGTTGCAGATCGATTTGGAATTCATTGTTTCTCGTTTGGCTTTGTTTTGTTTACAACAGTCGACAGTCGCCATTCAAACACTGTACGTTATGTCTACGTGATCCCAGTATTACTTGACGAACGATGTCGGATTCTCTTTCTGGATTTTGTTGATTCTGCTGTCAACAGTTTGTTCTTTTTTGAGGCAGTGCGACGTATCTACGTGCATACAAAGACCCCGTTTGTACTAGGCTGATCTGAATGATTTATGACCTACCATAATTACTTACTCATCAAGGATAGAATCTGTTCTGTTTTGCGTCCATCAGTGGTACTTAATGAGCCGCTGAGCAGGGTCATTGTCCACAGACGCAAGAAATCCATTGGTTTACAAAAATGGATTTCTTCACAGCATTTAGCATTAGCGCTGCTGAGGTTATGTTCAGGTTAATGAAACAAGTGCTCCATATGCAATAACTAAAAAGTTGTCTCCTTCGGCTAACATTCTTTGTCGATGCAGATATTTTTCGGAGAATGGGTAAAAACTATTAGTCTTCAGTCAGATGAAAAAGTATGATCAATGAATCAAGCCTAGTTCGTTCTGTTCTGTAATGAGGATGCACTCTACAGATCTGGTTCAACAGCTGACTGCTAAACATAACTTCATGCATGCCTTGTTTATCGTTCGTTCAATTTATTCTACAATAACATCCCATACAGCGCACTTCCTCTCTGTTGATTTTAGTCACGGATGATAATCAAAATTCGAGCACAGTTGTGCAGGGTGCCTTGAGTAAACTTAACAGAATGCGATTTACAACATAGTTGGTTTCATCCAGAGATATGTGCGTTTATCGTAGTTTTTTCTTAGTTCTAGATATATCGAAATTTTTATTGGCTTTTGTGTGGTGTCGAAGCAATCTTTTTGAAAGCTAATCTGGATTAGCTGTAAAATTTCACATTATTCAGTAGTCGCCTATCTGTTCCTAAGCCGGTACTGTGCTTGATTAGTCAAAACTCGTATTGCGTCTTTCTACCGAACAGATTTGCTTAGCGTTCATTGTTCATTGAGACGGTTATTTAGCGCAATGGTGAAGGCGACCAGTCCATAAATCTGAATAACATAAAGATCTCTACCGTCCAGTTCAGCCGCGCAAATCGACCTTCATGGTCTCATTGGCTTCCACATGTTCCTCCCTAGCTGTGGATACGAACTTCAAGGCCATATCACAGGTATTGGAGCTCTTGTATCAGTTACTCACTTCCGTCTCTATTTTTCTTTCGTTTCCATATTTCTATTCATGGGCTTATCTTTTCACTAGTCTCTCATT